CATCAATCCCACTTTGAGAAACCTTCTGTAAATCAAACTTGGTAATCTTTTATTGGAATCAGAGCAAAGCTCTGATTTATGAATTTCAAATTAGGAAGCTTATTCAGAAAAAAAAATCCAGATCTTTATTTGGGAAAATCAACATAGCAACCACAAACAGAATCAAAACCGAGCATGCTACCAAGGAGAAATCCTGAAAATAAATCCTGAAAACCTAATTGCAAGGAAGATGAGCAATAGCGAACTTCAGAAATCAAACAGCATCATACACATGAGACCAGATAGTCGCGACCTCGAACCAACAGCAGAATTGCATCACGAGTCTCACCAAATAAGAGCACACCAAAAGCTTATAACTGACAATGCTGGAATAGTTTCATCATCATCAACGAAGAACCAATGTTGATATCCTATCTGGCGCTCGGCGCCCAGACTACAGATGGCAGATCCTATCTAGCCTACTCTACAACGCCGCTGATGACGTCAACAGTTCCCCGAAGTACGAGCAGATCTCAGACAATGTCGTACGCTTCACGCACCAGGTATGTCTCTCGTATCACTCACAACCTCATTCCCCAACTCACAGATGCCCCATGCACCCAAGGACCACCATGCGCCCCATCCAGCATACAGCAGCGCAGCTCGGCTATGGCTGCCTGCTCCTTCCAGCTCGCCCGTGAGCGCGTGAGGCTGGCCAGCGTTAGCGCAGCATGCAGTCAATGCCCCAATGTCCAATGTGTAGGCAGGCCCTTCCCTATATCGAAGTGGCCTGCTGCTGCGTGCTGAGCTGCGGTCCTGGGCCCCAGCCCAGAAGCTTCCGGTAGACCCAGGGAGGCTGAGCCTCAGCCCAAACGGATCAGGCCCAGGGTCACCAACAGTTACCCGTGCCCAACTGCCCACAGTCTGAGTTGGGTCCATGCTGCGTATTGCGCCCAGGGCCTGATTTGGATACATTTGATAAAGGAGGCCAGGGCCTGGGCGCCTTTAACCAACCGGCGCTGCGCAACTGCCTGAATTTTACCCCAGCTGCGAAGTAGTCCCAAATAGGCGTCTTGTCATCTGTCGAGCCTGCCTTTGCCCTGTTGCAAATAGGGGCCCGGTAGGACTCATTGAGGCCTTGTGCCTCGCATAATCTAAAAGAAATAATCTAAAAAATCAAGATCGATCATAGACAAAAGTTTCATTATGCATTGTCAAACTAGAAAAAGGAGTCCAGGTATGGGGCAGGAGCAGATCGTGCACACGCAACGAGAATATGCCATATCAGAACAGAGAAAGTTTTCACACCCTCCGCACGTCTCCGCCTGGCGTGCTTGATCTGTCTGCATTAAGTCCTCCATCAACGCTGCCCGACGCTGCATACTGCTCGTAGCTGGCAAATCCTGCCGCCGATCTTCCTTATTTGCAGCTCCCTTCTCCTTCAGCCCCTGCCCTCATGAGAAAAGGACTCATTACGGAAAATGTTTTAGATTGATGACCAAGCAGAGATCGTGTGAGTGCTACCGAAGAAGCCCTGCAACTCACATCCGCCATTAGAGAATTCCCCACAAAGCTCCCTCCGCCTCTCCTTCAACCACCCTCCATCCCTCAAACCTAACCCCAGCCACCTTCGAAAGAGAAACATCCAGCCTCCCTCCATACGCTAGCGACGGCGGCCTCAACTGCCTACTATAGTCTCGATGCTAGCGTCGAAGGCATAAATGCCCATCCACAACCCGATAGGCTAATGGATGGTGTGGTAACACCTCGTCGAACCCGTCGGCGAGTAACCACAGGAGATTCAAGCCCTTTAATAGTGCGGTAGAAGGAAGGCCGAGGAACTAGTCTACACCCTCGAACCCTCATATGACGTCATCACTAAAAAACTCCTCTTCGCAGCGCCATCGCTAACATCTCCATACGAGCCATTTACTCCGCCACACGATCTCGCCTAGGCCCTTCGCTGGACCGTTCCTTGCCAGGCCGGCGGCGCAATGCCCCCGGTTGAGAGTCCCTCTCAATGGAGAGTGGCTGGAAATTTAGCCATAAAGAATTCGGCAATTTGCGGTAAGTCAACGAAACTCTGAGTTGCCTTACTTTGGTTTTCACGTGGTTTGCCAATGGGTTAGATGTGGCATTTGCTTTGGGAGCAGGAGGAGGTGGAGAGCTTGATTCCTCTGGGTCTGCGTAGCACGGCGAACGTGTTCGCACGTTCACGTGAACAGTTCGCAAACGTGTTCGGGCAAACATTATTTTCTTTTCGTAAAAAAATCTGTTTCACGATTTTTTTTTCTTCGGTTTTTCATTTTTTAATTCACGTTTGGCTAAGAATTTGAACATGACTCCAAAGCAAATTTTGCTTGCATTCTTGTTTTACATGACGTATATATGTATATATAGTCAAACAGAGCTGCCCGATAAACCGTAGGCAGAGAGGGAGAAGAGGACAACAAACGAGGGGCTGTGGCAAACTGTATATATCGTCAAATAGAACTGCCCGGTAAACCGTAGGCAGAGAGGGAGAAGAGGACAACAAACGAGGGGCTGTGACAAACTGTTTCGTCGGAGTTTCACCGACTCATCAGGAGGCTGTATATAATATATTCATGTTTGCATTCAAAGGGTTTTGGGCACTCGTTTGCGTTCGGCCAAACATGTTCGGGTTCGCCTGCCAGTGCTAACACGATGCTACGCAGCATGCTTCGTGTGGAGTTCCGATGTATGCATGGATGCATGCAGTAATTCTTTTTGTTTTGTTCTTTCTAATCAGGTCCTTATTGGGGTGGCTCCTTTCCATTCTGGGGAGCGTTTCAACCGGCAAGACAGAAAATAATACATCAATAAACCCACAACCCGCTTCCCTCCGACCTGGTTGACAGTACCCCTGCACAGCATTGACCACGCTGCATATAGAGGACTGACAGCCAGGCTTGCCTCAAGGACTTAACTTGCATTTTTCTCAGTCCATCTGCCAATGAGCTGCATTTTTCTAAGTCCATCTACCAATGAACTGCCAGATAAGTGCACCCTAGAATATGAGAGTCAATTCAGGCCCAAAGTGGGTCCCGATCCACCCGTGTCTGCTGTCGCTGCTGGTTTACAGAAGGTCTAGGGCCCTTCCCCACTGAGGAGTCGAGCACCCAAAATTGTTTTGGGGGTTTTCCGACCCGTTTTTGTTTTTTTTTTGAGGGGGGGGGGGGCGTTCCCGACGTGGTCTATCTGTATTGTAATTTATAATACATAGCCGTTTTCAAACGCTTGGTTCAATTATTAATAATTTTTTAAATAATTTACTAGTTTTTTTCAATACTTTTTTTTATATATTTTTAACTTAAACTTGGTTAGGTATTCCGACATGACTCTGGGGCGAAAAGAGGTTTGTATTATTCTTCTGCATAACATACTTCTTTTCAGATTTTTTTTTCTTTTTTTTTTACGGTCCGGAGATTTTCTAGACCTGCTTTACCAGTTCGGACGGTCTGGACCCCCGCCACGTCGAGAGGTCCAGAAATGTCCGAAAGTCCGGACGTCCGGACGGAACCGGGCATACATCGGGCCCTGTGTCCGGCAATGAGCGGGTCCGGGTCCCCAGCGTAGCCAAGTCAAATATATATATTGTGCACCTTCAGAGTCTCAGACAAATCTGAAAAATAAATTATTACGCACATTTAAGAATTTTTTTGCAACATTTGACCCAGATCAGATCTGCCATCTGGACGGTGCAGGTCAGATCTTGCGTCTGAACCATCAGGTCTGGCATTTGGATGGGGTCCAAAACCCTGTGTCTGAACAAAGTTAGTGTGAGGCTCAAGCCATCGACGAGCCCAACTGGGCCCTGTTCTCAGCACTGTCCGCCGCCCTAAGTGAAGGCAGGCCCGACCAAGGCCGAGAGGCCTATTTTTCGGCTACCACGCAACTGGAGAAATTCAGGCAGTTGCGCAGCGCCAGTTGGTTGAGAACGCCCAGGCCCTGGCTGCCTTTTTCACATGTAACTGAGGCAGGCCCTGGGCCACATACGGAACATGGACCGAACACAGGCTGAGGGCGGTTGAACACGGATAACCGCCATGGGCCCTGGGCCTGAATCGTCTGGATTGGGGCTCAGCCACTTGGGGCCTACCGGAAGCTTCTGGGCAGGGGCCCAGCGCAGCCAGGCCGCACGCAGCAGGCAGGCCACTTCCATTTAGGAAAGTGCCTGCCCTGGGATTCAGCATTCGGGCACTGGCTGCATGCTGCGCAAGCGCTGCTGCGCTATACGCTGGCCAGCGCCCACGCACTCACAGGCGAGCAGGAAGAGCAGGCAGCCATAGCCGAGCTGCGCTGGGCTATGCTGGATAGGGCGCATGGTGGTCCTTGGGTGCATGTGGCATCTGTGTGTGGGGGATTGAGGTTGTGAGTGATGCGAAAGACATACCTGGTGCTTGAGGCGAACGGCATTGGCCGAGATCTGCTCGTACTTCAGGGAGCTGTTGACGTCACCAGCGGCATTGTAGATAGGCTAGATAGGATCTGCCATTTGTAGTCTGGGTGCAGAGCGCCAAATAGGATGTCGACATTGGTTCATTGTTGAGAATGATGAGACTATTCCAACATTGTCACTTGTGAAGTTGTGAGCTTTTGCTGTGCTCTTATTTGGTGGAACTCGTGTTGCAATTCTGCTTTTGGTTCGAGGTCACGACTACCTGGTTTCATGTGTATGATGCTGCTTGGTTTCTGAAGTTCGCTATCGCTCATTTTCCTTGCATTAGGTCCAATTTCAATGCCCACAAAGCCATGGATGCTCCTTCATACGTCTTCTCACACAAGCTCATTCGTTCAACCAAGAAGGAGAAAAACTCAGTTGAGCAGACTCAAAAATTACAACAACACAAAAAAGGAAAGTTAAACCTTTGCCGATTCAGAAATGAGGGAAAACGCCAGGCCCCGAAGAATTCGGAGGCCGGGCCTGGCGACGGCTGCCATTGATAAATCTAATCAGCGGCCGTCATTTCGTTTTGGCCTCCTGAAAGGTCGGAGGCCCACTATTTTCCAAACCGACAAAGGTGCTACCGGTAGTGGTTTAAGGAAAATTACTAATTAGTCAATGAAGAAAATGAAGAAAATAAAACATGCCTGTCAACACAGCACAGCCTGCTGCTGCTGCCTCGGCGAAGTTATGGCCTGCCAAACCGGGAAGGAGAGAGCCGCCGACAAATACAATAGGGCAGAGGGAGTACAAGCCTGTTAGCTCGCCTGTGACACAGACAAACACAAACACAAAAGCAAACAGAGGTGACATCAATACAAAACAGTCAAACTCGAAGAACAAGAAAAAAAGAAAGAACATAGTGGTTGTTAAAAAAAAAAAAAAAAGGCCCAACTCCATGAGGTGGCAGAAGCAACGGCAGAGAAAAAAGATAAAGAAAAACACAGGCAACATATCTGCATGATGCAGAGCAAATGCATTCTCAATTCCATCTGCGATTCTGCGCATATTAAGCGTCTGGTTCAGATAGCCCAAGTGGTTGCATGCGTAAGTTGTACTGGATAGGTGCTGGGTTCAAGGCCCGCTTAGGTACTTTCACCCACGTGTACATCACATCTGACCCCCTTTGTCAGAAGGTCCTTGTCCTTCTGACAAAGGACAAAAATACTACCATTGAGAAATATCAAGGAATACCCAGCCCATGTGGCTGAGCGGTACACCCATGAACTGTTGATAAAAACAGACTTGAGTTAGAATCCAGGTGAAATCAGATGTGGATAAAGAAACTCTGAATTACGTAAGACCTGTCAGTTTGACGACAATACCTCAAGGCCGTCACCCTTCGTTTTCCTTTGAAAAGAAAAAAAAAGTTTGTAAAGTATTATGACACATAATAATGACTCCGAACTATAAAAAAAAAAGTGAATTAAAAGGAGGACTCCGAATTACCTGGGCCCAAATCCACCAATAATAGGTGCTGGGTTCAAGGTCCACCATGGATTGCAAAAACAAAACGCATAAAAAACTCCAAAAACAAAACCAAAAAAAGAAACTGTGTTAATCGCATTCCGTTCCGAGTTCCTTCTACCCAACACTCCCACATCCGCAGAAGAGAGTCTACATCTGTTCAGAGCCGATCGACGAGTGATCCAGTGGCCCCGTGTGGAAGTGCTCTCTCTCCACAGTGAAATGTGTGTGTGTGTGTTGTCGTATTCGCTATACACTAAAAAAAAGTATGACTGTGCCAGACTGTTTCGTCCGACTTTCACCGACTCATCAGGAGGTTGAACCCCGCCAGTCTGCCCAGGATTCATTTGACTGATGATAAGGACATCGCCCAGAGTTAGCGACACCCCTGAGAAATGTGGTCTACTTTACTCACACCAACCTTGCAATCCTAGCAGACTGCCGGTCCAAACCCTTGACAAGAACGGCTGTAAGTCTGAGAAACCAATCTGACACAGTCATAAAACACTCTACACACCCACTCAGCCATGGACACCCAATGGCATGACCGCTAGTATGGTCCCGACCCTAGCCGCATCGACCCGTGCGTGTGTGTGCATGAGTGTTTATGACCGTGTGAGTGTGTGTGTACGCGTGATTTTGTAGACTGGCCTAATATCAACACTTGCACAGCATATCTCCAACAGAAACCTCAAGCAAAAGAAAAAAAGGAGTGCAAGGCTGGCTACATCGATGTGGTTGACCGGATCGCTCCCAAAGCCACAAGCAAAAAAAGGACGATGAAGACTGCGAAGGACAGCCACATGAGGGTGTGTGAATATGTGTTTGCATAAAAGTCCCAACTCCACACCCCGTTCCGGGCTGCAACTGGTCGGGATTGCAAAGGCAGGGGGTGCAAAAGGAGTCGGGAGGCCACGGCCCACTACAGATCACGACATGACCATGGGCCACAGCCCATAGGCTGCTTGCTGCTGAGCGGAGCGGTGTAATTGTTTTCGACTGAACGACACACGATGACAGGGCAATCTCGCACATTAAGTTTTGCATCCCCACACCGCCTGCTATCGCTGTGGGCTCATAAGTGAATGGTGACACGGAGCAGGTCGACATCATATTGTGAGCGCGCGCGCGCGCGCGCGCGAGAGAGAGAGAGAGAGAGAGAGAGAGAGAGAGAGAGAGAGAGAGAGAGAGAGAGAGAGAGGACTGACCGGTGGACAGATGGACAGACAAGTGGACAGAGGGCCAAGTGGGTCATTCTGAACTTCGACTGACTGAACCCTGGAGAGTATTCCCGCGCCTGAAAGCCTGCCTCTACAACAACCTGGGCGTTTTTCAACAACAAAAAAAAAAAAAAAAAAAAAAAAAAATCCTTTAAAAAAGAGTCAATCATCAGAAAGTCACATCAAAACATTAACAAACCACCGCCAAACACAAACGTGTCAAATCGAATCTGCAATTTTCGAGTTCTAAGTTTTATGTCTGAAAGTTGAAGTTTTGACGTCTGAAATGTGAAGTTTCGATATCTGGCAGTTGAAATGACCTACCCAGCTCAGAGAACTACCTGGCTTGCTGCAGCTTGGGGGTAAGAGACCTCACCTACAGTATCTGCAAGATAGACATCCGTTCCCATGTCTATTTTTTGCCCTTCGCTCCTAATGGCAACTGAAAGTCCTTGCGAAGACAGCACCTGGCACACACACACACACACACACACACACACACACAAACACACACCCACACACCCACACACCCACTCACAGACACCCACACACACACACACACACACAGACAATGAATCTCTGAGACATCAGGATCGGATGGTTTATATGCCAGCACATGCACAGTGCAGGACGATATGGTGGTGGCCGTGAATTATCAACATGTTCCCTCATCTCCATATATGGTGAGTCAGCTAAGTGCTTTCCAGTGCTTCCTAAGAGTAACAGAGCACAGTCGCGGCATAAGATCTGTAGACTGTGATAGTGAAAGAGGAGGTCAGTGCAGTGCATCACAAGATACATAACACATTCAAGTCCTCCTCCTTTAAAAACTGCGCTAAAAAAATTGCGCTAAAAAAACTACGCTAAGAAAACTGCGCTAAAAAAACTACGCTAAAAAAACTGCGCTAAAAAAACTGCATTTAAAAAACTGTCACACAATGAACACGGTGGCACGTCGGTCGTAGATTGGATTCAGAAATGAATGTAGGAGATCTTTTCTGATCCCTCATTTGTGGTTTGCATTCTTACTTATTTTTTCTTACCCACTCCCTTGACCATAATCAGGTCTTCATTCAGATCCCTTGACCATTCTCCTTGGCAAGAAAGAGAAAGTTGGAAAAGAAACAAAGAGAGTTGCAGGGAATGGGGCCGCAGGGACAGTAGCAAAGAAGTTGGATGTCAACCTTGTCTTCCCTTAGTTTCCCCCCCCCTTTTTTTTCTAAATTTTGTTCCCTTGGCTGTGGTTTCGCAGGATGGTAGATAGGGACAGCGGGAAAGAAGTTGAATGTCAATCTTGCCCGACTTTGAAGCAAAACACAAAAAAAATGACACAATTGTCCCCATACCAACTGCAGAAGGAAAAAAAGAAAAGAAGTAGAGATCAAGGGCGGGAGAAAAAGGAAGCTCCCCAAAATGACAAAAAAAAGCAGGGTAGGTCAATAAAGGGGAACAAAGAAACCAGCAGAGTCTGCCAAAGGACAGATTATCCTGACCTTGAGAATTTCTGCCCTTCTCTCTGGATGACGGGGCGTAATCACAGTCAGCAGATCCGGAACATTTTTGCGGAGCTGCAGATGGACACGACCGATCGCTGCGACCAATCACAGCAAAGCAGGCAAGCCAAACGAAGGAAGTCAAAACAAGAAAGTCAAAACAAGAAAGTAAAAACAAGAAAGTAAAAACAAGGAAGCTAAAGCAGGAAATTCAAACCAAGGAAATCAAAGCAGATAGGGATGAAGGGAGGAGGATAGAAATGGGACATGACGATGTGCCGTAAATGGACGTCCATGCAGCTGGTTGGTGGGATGGTAGCAGAAGGTGGGTTAAAAAAAAAAAAAAAAAAAAAAAAAAAAAAAAGGGTGACGGCCTTGAGATATCGTCATCGAACTACGTCATTCAGAAGTGTCGTATTTTACTTGTCAGCTTCCAGTGGAGTTCAAACTCGGGTCTTTATTTCAACAGTTCAGGTGTGGTGTTTACCAACTGAGATAGGCTAGTCTAGTATTTTACTTATCTGCTTCCAGTGGAGTTCGAACTCAGGTCTGCATTTCGTGATGGCAACCGGGGGCTGAAAAGACAAAGGACAACGACAACCGGGAAAGTTGAAGAGAGGAGGAGGAGGATAGAAATGGGAGATGAAAACCACAACGCGACAATGCAAGAAAAATAACAGCAGCGATGAAAGAGAAATGACAACGGCAAACAACGAAAGCAAAAAGGCAGTGGTGAAAGATTTCACACATCTCAGCGACAAGTCCCGGATCCGGTCCCAAAGTTCCAGAGGCACATGTACCATAGCCCCGTCCGGTAGGTTAAGTAAGATGGTACGCCTGTTTGTACAGGTGGTCCAGAAGGTATCGTAGGCCCCATCCATAGGTTAGACTAGAATAGTCCACTAGGCCCACTTCGTTAGGGTGTCAGCGCATTAGTGCAGCTGCGGCTCAGTCCCAGGAGGAAGATGGCGCATGCCTGCTTGCCATGCATATCATAAAGTAGAATTCCAACAAAGACAATTGTTTGACTGACAACGTTTTTTTATGAACTTACTAAGAATTTGCGAAAGCAAGCAATAATTGTTGACATGTGGTGTATAATGAGAAAACCTTTTAAACGGACAAAAGATAAGGTGATTGGGGACATACACATACTGCCCATACCTTCTTCCTCGCCAGGGTGTGTGCTGGCAGCTAGCCATTTCGCTGAGCGACTCTCAAGCTGAGGCCGCAGCTCTGCGATTGCTGCTTCCGACTCCAGAGAACGTGAAGCCGAAGAAGTCGCTGCATTTTTTGAAATCAAAGTTCACACTTCAAAGTTCATACCATTGAACAACAAAAGGAATAACCGCAAATAAGTCAAGAAAAAAAGTCATTGGCATTACCTGACATGCCTGAAGGAAGGAAGGAAGGAAGCCAGGAAGGAAGGAAGGAAGGAAGGAAGGAAGGAATGTGACCGTTGACCGCAGACTATCCCTGTCTGTTCTATATCCCCGTTCGGTAACAGTTGTACAACTGTGAGGTAACAGTTATATGACAGTTAGGTGACGGTTAGGTTAACAGTTAGGTGACGGTTAGGTTAACAGTTACTATATTTGAACAAAGAATATTGAATAATCCACTTACGGCGATGATTAGGTAACATCATGACAGTTAAATGTGGTAACAGTTATACGAGAGTTACGTGAGGTAATAGGTATATGACAGTTAAGTGACAGTTAGGTTAACAGTAGGTTAACAGTTATGATTTAGTTGAGGATATCTCCTCACGTGCAGAGAATTAACAACTTATTACTATCTCCACAAGTGTTAGGTAACACCGTAACACTAACCGTTAGCTGAAGGATATCTCGACAGTTAGGTAACACTGTGACGGTTAGGTGAGGTAACAGTTATATGACAGTTAGGTGACAGTTAGGTGACAGTTAGGTGACAGTTAGGTGACAGTTAGGTGACAGTTTGGTGACAGTTAGGTTAACAGTTAGGTATCACTAAGGCAACGGTTAGGTAATAGTTAGGCTAGCAGTTATAAAACTGTTGGCAGCTAGTTGAGGATATCTCACAAGTGTTAAGCTGTTAACAACTTAACATATCATTTAGAAGTTGAATGATATGAACAACATTATTATGAATTCATTACTATCACAATGTTATATTGGCTAGACCAAGCAATGACATTAAATTTCAATGTACCAAAACAAAACAAAAAGCAGAAAAATAAAAAATAAAAATTGCTACTTTGACAAACGATATACTACACGTCCGCGATGTGAACCAATGCCGCTGCAGAGAATCTAAACTGATCCTCTGTCCAAAAGTTTCCTTAATGGTGGACCAATCAAAACTAAGGAGAAAGAAAAGAACACCCATGGCATTGCTTGCTTTATCACTTCAACCTCTCCCCCCACTCCCCCCTTAGTTTTGCAAGTTTATTTACATTGTGGCCGGGGCGTAAGAGGAATTGCTGATCTTCAGATTTAGTCTATTTGTCTTTTGGGTGTAGGAGTTGTTGAGCTTCCCTCTCCCCCCACATCCCCACTTCCCCCCCCAGCACACACAAACATACACGAAAAAGAGAAGGGGGCAACGTACCATATTTGAGATCACCACCAAATTGGATGGTATCAGGCCGTGCACCTAACAGCTGAAACCGCAACGCTTCCTGATTATTCTTCGGATTCCGAATGCCACCCACTCACCCACTCCATGACCACCTACATACGACCGTACAAGATCCCCCAAATACAGTCGATCCCGCATTGTGCAGCAGCCTCATCACCACTTGCAAGGACATGCACTTGCACTAATGCACCCAGGAAAGCCCTCAGCAGAAGCCCCATAACAATGCCAAGCATACCAGCAATACGCAAACTTTTTTTCACGGTGACCTCTCTCTCTCTCTCTCTCTCTCTCTCTCTCTCTCTCTCTCTCTCTCTCTCTCTCTCTCTCTCTCTC